AGAGGTTAGCATCAGGCTACAGAGGGGTTAGCATCAGGCTACAGAGAGGTTAGCATCAGGCTACAGAGGGGTTAGCATCAGGCTACAGAGGGGTTAGCATCAAGCTACAGAATGGTTAGCATAAAGCTACAGAGGTGTTAGCATCAGGCTACAGAGAGGTTAGCATCAGGCTACAGAGGGGTTAGCATCAGGCTACAGAGAGGTTAGCATCAGGCTACAGAGAGGTTAGCATCAGGCTACAGAGAGGTTAGCATCAGGCTACAGAACATCCAACCACAGACAGCCTTACAAATATACCACCAAATCATTAGCTAGCTTCCTGTTTAACCAGGAATGCTAAAATGATTTTTAAATTCTGAAGATGAGTCTGGTCCTGTTCTTTATGTTCTGCCACAAATAGAAATGTACAAAAGCACGAGGGCTTCCAGGAGCAGCTTGTGGAACAACACAAAGCTGAAATGATTACAGTGATGGGAGCGATCTTCAGAAAAGGACCATCAGTCGCTCCAAGTCTTGAACTGCATGTTAGATCTTCCTCATGGGATGACGATAATGACGAGCTGAGGGGTTAGCCCACAGCTGAGATGTGAGCAGACATTTTCCCCTCACTTGTGTGAACAAAGTGGCAGCACAGAAAACCAGTGGACTCAGGATGGAGCTCTGAGGAACACCTCACGGTTAGTTTTAGGTCTTATGATGAAACACCAGACTCATCTGTCAGTGCTGCATCCCAGCAGGTCTGTTAAAGTTGACACTGATTTAAAACTGTCTTTTATATAAAAACAACAACASTGTGTGTGTGATGAAGACAGGGGGTCTCTGCAGAAACATGCCCCTGCGCTGCAGCAGGGCCTTACTTACCATGGATTAATATAAAAAGCCAAAAGATAGTCAGTCCAAAGGCAGGATGGCAGAAGGGTAAGGAAGGCAAAGAGGCTTCTTCGCCTGAAGGGGGACAAATAAACACAAACAAGGGAGACATGGGGAGCYGGAGGACAGACAACAGGGAGGGGGGACAGGGTGGGCACAGAAGACAGAGCTCCATTAGTAAAGAGGCACAAAGCTTGACATTAGTGCTGAACACAGAGTTAATGCTTCATGCAGCAGAGCCTCATGTCTCTGCAGGACAACACCAATCAAAGGCTGCTCTGTTTGCCTTATCAACGTCCAGTCTGAGTCTGTGACATCACAGCATCATAGCCCCGCCCACATTCAGCCAGGACCCCCCTCCAGCTGTCACAGTCTGTGACCTCACCTTCACTGAGCTGATGACTTCATTACTGGCCACGGACAAAAAATGAAAAGCAGACAATAATGTCTTTCTTTGTCTGTTAGCAAAACATCTCATGAACTGTTGGATGGACTTATGAAAGTAATCACAAGTTGTGTTTCCATAAACGTTGTTGATATTCTGTTAATGTGGAAAAAACACAGTTTCACAACTGCAGTGTTTCCATTAAGTAATAAATGTTATTAAAGTC